CGTGTTTGTTTGTTTGTTTGTTTCCCTTGGGATGATACACTCCTCCATACACTATACACTCCTTCCACTACACTTTCTTGGCCACACAGGGGGATTGGCCAAGAAAGTGCAGTGCAGTTTTTGTGTGATCATTTTAACTATGTGTAATGAATTTGTATTATAATAAGACTAATGTAAGGAAAACAACACAAAAAGAGCAAATGAGAAAAAAAAAGTAGCATGGGGCGAAACACTTCTTCCCCATCGCTTTTACATTACCACACGCACGTCGTATAAGCTCACAGGGTTAACCAAAACTTTCAAAGATTGCGGATAGTTCACAAAAAAGAAAGACGTTCAATATAAAAGACGGCCTCGTGTCGGAGCGAACTGAAGTGGCCGCTATCAGTTCGCGACTCGCATGGATGGATGGATGGATGGATGGATGGATGGATAGATAGATGTGGCTGTATTTTTCCTTCCTCCGTGCTGTACCCTTTAGATCGGGTAGAGGCTAACGCCACCTAGCCGTAATACTTAGTGAACTAACCATTAGATTTATCTTCTTTGTTCTTTGAATAGTAAAGTTTGACAGGTACTTTGCAGTGAAGGGTTTAATTTTCACTCGTGCCTTGACTTTAGCCTCCTTCCAGTTAGGTCTACCCGCTTAAAGTCTATCCCTGTCCCTAAACCCCAGTGCTTTGAAAAACTCTGCGCCATCATCCTGAACTATAGGGTGAAGCCCTTTACAGAACATTATCAAGTGTTCCGCAGTTTCTTCTTCCTCTCCACACGCGCTGCATACTGCGTCTACCCCTTCGTATATTGCCTGATATGTCTTGGTTCGCAATACTCCCGTCCTGGCCTCAAACAGTAGAGAACTACCCCGAGTATTATCATAGATCCTTTCTTTGACAATTTCCTGCTTAAAAGTTCGACAGATCTCTAGTGCGGACTTCTTAATCATGCCAATTCTCCACATGTCAGTCTCCGTTTCCTTTACTTTCTTCTTAACCGATAGTTTTTTTTTGTTGTTGTTGTTTGACCACCTGCTGTTTTCTAAGTATTTACCAGTCAATTTCCTGGTTTGCTTCCTTCATTTTGTATCGACATTCTTCATGTACAAGTAGCTGAAAACCTTCCTAGCCCAACGCTTCTCCCCATTTCTCTCCATCGCTTCTCAAATTTTATCTTGCTGCTAGCTTCCCTGCCTTCAAATGATGTCCATCCCATATCACCTTGAACTCCCTGATTTGGTGTATTCCCGTGAGCTCCTGAAGCAAGCCTACCTATTCCACGTTGCTTAATTTCTAATCTTGCTTGAACTTCTGATCTCATGCACAAGACCGCATTGTCGAACGTCAGCCCAGGAACCATGACCCCTTTCCACAACATCCTCTCACAACATCATACCTATTGTAATTTTACAGTGCCCTATTTTTCATCACTGCTGCATTCCTGTTACTTTGAGTCGTCACGTATATTTCGTGTTCCCTTAGGTACTCGGTCCCATTGCTTAACCATACGCCCAGATATTTGTATTTATCTGTTATCTCTAGCGTGACCTCCTGTATTCTAAGCTCACTACCTTCGTTATCATTAAAAATTATGACTGCTGATTTTTCCTTACTGAATTTAAAATCTAACCTATCTGCCGCATTACCACAAATGTCCATTAATCTCTGCAAATCTTCCTTGTTATCGGCCATTAGCACTATATCATCTGCGTACATTAATGCTGGTAGTGCCTGATCAATGAGTTTTCCTTGTTTGACTAAAGAGAGGTTAAAGCCAAGTACACTTCCCTCTAATTTGGCCTCTAATTCTTGTAAGTACATCATGAATAACAAGAGTGACAGTGGACACCCCTGCCGAAGTCCCCGTTTCACCTCTGTGGGTTTGGATACCTGTTTTTCCCACTTTATAACTACCTTGTTACTTTTATGGATTTCCTTTAAAAGATTAGTGACTCCATCTTCCACACCCAGTGCGTCCAGTATTCCCCACAAGTCCTCTTGAACCATGATATCATACGCTCCCTTGATATCCAAAAATGCTAGCCACAGGGGCCTGAGTTCCTTTTAAGCTATTTCGATGCACTGCGTCAGTGAGAACAGATTGTCTTCCAACCTCCTGTGTTTCCGAAGCCCATTCTGCAGTTCCCCCAGCACAGCCTCATCCTCTATCTATGCCTGCAGTCTTTTCTTTACAATCTGCATGGCCACGGTACTTTTAGCGCTCTCTAATAGGGAGAAGGCAAACCCGAGGCGATCAGTCACCTCCCCTTCCTACACCGTGACTGACACGTATTTTGCTTTTGAAATCAATAAAACATTTTTTTGCGAACGTTTTTACATTAATTTGTCAAATTTCTCCAGGTTATTCTGCGTTTTTTTGCTTCTGCAAGTTTCTGGTAGGTGTTCTGTGGTTTCACTACGCAACATCATGGCATTCGAGATGACGTACTCAGTGCGATGACCATGGTATGGGTGGTACTAGTCATATGGGTGCGAGTGAGGCCCTCCGTTACCTCCGCCATGTAAAAAGTCCCAGCATTCTGGCCTCTTTACCCAGAAGGCGCGCAAAAAAATTTTTTTTGTCATGCTCGGAGGTCACATATTCGGTAGCACGTAGGCTCCGAGATTATAACCTGCCGTGCTCGAAAGCTACATTCCTATTACGTGCTTGAAGATAGTGATGGTGCCACCATCCTACTGTGCTATTTTGTCACGTACAGAAAAAACGCGCCGGTATCTTATGACAGCATTGCTCTCGACAAGTTGATTTACGTACTGTGTATATATATATATATATATATATATATATATATATATATATATATATATATATATATATATATATATATATATATATATATATATATATATATATATATATATATATACACACACACAGCATACCCACGGAGTGAATGGTCATGAGTGAGGCGAAGCATCCTTCCATCCATCCGTGTGTTCATCCATCCGTCCGATCACGTTCGAGAATGGCCATAGACTGAGAGGGGCACTCGTTCTCCGCGTATCCAGGCACAGCCCGCGCAGCAGCCAATTGGAGAGTAGCGGTACCGCGCCATCTAGAATATCCTCACTCAACTGCAGTTTATATGCAACTTCTATGAAACAGGACTCTCTCGCCTCTTCTCTCAGTTACACGTGACAAGGTTAGACTAAAAAGAGCTTCGCCCCTAAAAGAAATGCAGTGGTTCAACGCGGTTTTTGAGCTCTGTTTTGTTTTATTTGAATAAGTACGAGACCATTGCGTGCTTTGCAGAGATTTATGCATGCGCGCGTGTTTTGATTTAGTTGTGATAACTCAATGCGCTTTGATGCGCCGCGACAACAGAGCCAACGTGTTGCACTTCAGGAGAACAAACAGATCTACGTACGCTGCCCATCACTGTCGTCATCTCTTTCGACCCAAACACACCGAGCGCGCACTGAACTTGAATGCAGAGGGGCGCCTCTTAAACACTAACCTGGGTCGCTATTCCTTCTCGCGAATGCGCCACACGCCGAAGTTGGCGGTGACCTTCGATCTGCCACTGGAATACGGCATGCTAATCAACGGTATAGTTACAGTGAACTATAAGTGTAGTGGCGATTGCTCTTCCGCAGCACCGCAGCAACTGTCGCAGCAATAAAGGCTGACGTACGTAAAAAGAAGTCTCACCTATGGCAGCCACTTTGCGGGAGATTTCAGATAACATTCGTACAACAGGGAAATTAGGTAGATATTCGGGAGTTGGCAGGTATGCATGTAGCAGTAACCCATGCTACTAGAGATCAGTCGTACGCTAGACATAATTTAGCTTATAGTTCCGTTCCTTTTCAGTTCCTTGTGGAATGTGGCATTCATAGCACAATTCCAATGCATTCACACCATCAGTAAAATGTACTTGACAAAAAAAATACTTTTTTTTTGCGCCATAACAGCATCGGGACAAACTTCTCCAGAAAACATGTTTTCAGACTGCCATCATTTCATGTACCGTACTTATAGATAGAGGAGGGCATCAGTTGAGGCCCCCCGATGAGTGTTGGGCAGCACCTGTCGTAGCATCACGATGTAGTGATCTCGGGAGCATTGTTTGATGTAAGCAACGTCCCAGAGTGTAGCTTTGATGGCACAGTGTAGATTCGCACGGTATTGCTAAGTCTATAAGAAAAAGAACTGAAGAAAAGAAAACGCTTTTATTGACAGGAAAAGAAAATGAGTAAAATGTCTGTATCCTGCGACGGGTTCAGAGATAACCCACACCTGCCCGATGAGTGGCCGGTACATTTCGTGTGCACGTTCACTAAGGACTCCTTCCTACTGCTCTGACGTACGGGAGGAACGTAGAATATGAACACTACTTTTTGGAGGTAGGAGACCAGCAGAGCTGACTGATGCACTCTGCTCCTTTAAGGGCTTCTCATAAGGGCACTGCTCCTTAGGTGTTCTTACAATGAGAGGTCGATATCCATATCTGCCACGCTACTTTCGACCGACTTCCGTTCCTCCTGCCACGCCTCAGAGGGCGTGAGGAAGTCCACATTCATGCTTCAAAATACACCACTGAGAAAGCCGACTCATCCCAAAACACGCGTACCACTGCTCTGAAGGGAGCGCTAGGCTTTTTTTTGTACACAGACGGAGACCGCTAATTCAAGGTGTGTCATTCATCACTGCATGATGAAAAAGCCACTACAATCTACAAACGTAAGGAATCGCACAGGCTGTAGATGTCATGTTGCAAACATGGGAATGGCGATACTACAATGTGCTTAGTTCTCCGTGAAACACTGTGGATGATATCGTAATGTTGCAAAAGCCAGTTTCCAATATGCAATGTACAACCCACCTGTGCAGTAAAACTTTTTACATATCTACACAGAGGTAAAGAAAATATCAAGCAACCTTTTCCAAACATTGATTAACGAATATGTATGGTTCACATTATGTAATGTTCACATTATGTAGTTGTGCACGCCATGATAGAACAGATATACGACTGCACGTAACCAAGTGTACGGACTTTATTATGAAACTTTTTAAGGATACATAGTATCACAATCAGGTCGATTGAGAACATCAGAGCGAAACAAAGTGATCCTTACATATATCTTTGTCCTTTTATGAGCCCTTTACACAAAAATAACAGCATATAACCATACACCATCACTGGACAGCAGAATCTTTTGTTATTTTTGTTTCACTAGCGTTGGGTGTATTTAACAGGAATCGCTAAGTATATGTGCGTACATTGGGAGCATGTAGTGTTTCTAAGATTTGCACAGTCTTTGATCCACATGAATGAAACTGATACAATGTCCTCAATAAGAAAAAAAAAAGACTGATCGATCCAGATCTATACACTCCTTCCAAATGCCCGCCAAAGGCATGTCCTGTCATTCCGGTGAAACAGTTCTGCACCACACGTTTGTCCAATGAAGGCCTTGTTCAGTCAGGAGAACAAAAATTGGCATTTAAAATGGCACAGTTCCAAAGGTCTGTTACACTATAGCACACTGACTAGAACAAAAAAACAGTTTTTGTGCAGAACGAGAAAAAAAGGCACAGAAGAAACAATTTTTAAACTCTCGCCTTTAAGGCTACAATAAAGGCAGATTTGGTTTTTAACCATTACAACCAAAAAAGTTTGGTATACAACCAAAAAAAGTTACTTCACACCTTCTAGGGGCTACCAATCATTAAAATTTCTAAAGATTACACGATTGTCAGCTTATAAAACGACAATAGTCATCGTTTGATTGTCACCTGGAATCTTGAAGGCACGCACTTCACTGGAAAACTAATTCAATCTAAAATTTGGAAACATATTAAGGCAATGTGAGAGTTAAAAGCAGCGCAGTGAACTGCTCGTAAAGAAAAAAAAAAAAACTTGTTTGAGATAAAATAAGTAAACGGAATCTAGATGGAAGATTTAAAAAAAGAAAACAAACAAACTGATGGAATTTCTCTGACCTGATTGTTGTGTGACAATGTGCGAGTGATGTGCATGAGGTTTCATAATACAAAATCTGACTGGTTACAAGATTCTAACAATGAGTGTTCCTCCTCCTCTAGCTCACTCCTTATGTAAAATATACATCTCTTAGACCATCACCGTGTCCTTGTCACGCTAGCACGGGTAAAGGCCATTTTATGTAAATGAGTTCACACGAACGAGTGCCCACTAATGAAGAAAAGAAAGGACGGGTGGACAGCCTTCGAGCAAACCGGCAAACGAGCCGTTGCCACGCAACATTGCTGCATTGCAGCAAAAAAAAAGTTTTGTTTTTCTTTTTAACTGCACCTTTTCTGAAAGAACTCACTTGAGCAAAATGACATTTACACGGCTACATGTGACAGCGGTGCTAGATTAGACTTGGACGGGGGAGTACGGAAAAACGGCCGCACGTCCCTGAAGAAAGCGGCTCTCACTTTTGGCCAAAGCTGCGGCAAATGTACGGTCGCTCCACTGCAGAGATTGGGAATGCACAAATGTAAGGAAACCTATCGGGAGAGCGGCCTGTGTTCACTTTTCAAGACAGGTGATGTTTCAAAGATCCGACGTGCCTTAACTCAACATGCCGCAACTCTAACATATCTATTGTAGTTCTGGCTCGGCCAAAGTTCTGTACCACTCCATCTATTTTATGCATATGCTTTGAATGCGATAAAGAAAGCACGCGAATTCGAAAATCTTTGCTCCCTAGATCTTGGAATATACCTGCTGTGTAGTACTGAGAAAAAGCCTGTGTACTGCATGCAATCGCGGTAGTGTTGTACCTTGACGGATGGAAAACACAGGCAGCCGAGCTTTCGATGATCTGGACCACAGATCACGCAGCGGTACCGCCAATAATTACGGGTGCTCAATAAACACAGGCACATCCATCATGGCTTCAACGTAGTTTCAGATGTAGCCTGCGGACGTGTACCTGGGATCGCATGACACAGCGCTTGTGGCACAGGTGCCAGACCCCCTATGTGTGCAACGATTCTGATGCACTCAACTGATACGCAGTGGGCCCAACTTCTTTCAGATCGCGTGTTTGCCGCAGCTTAGGGCTAGTGATGGTGTCTCGCTGCAATGTCCCCGTCTGAACAAGAAGGTTTTGGGGCATAAGAGGGGAGTACGTGGTAAGGAAGTAAAAATAAATACATAAATAAAAAAGGGCAGGAATTGATAAATAGTAGACGAACAACAACATTTATCCATTAGAAAAAAAAGGGGGGGAGGAAAAAGATACGCACGGTGTGAGATCCAGTATTCATGAGATAAAGTGCCTATCACGCGCCGGCTTGTTAGAAACCCAGCAAGTTGCCAGGCCCACAATTTCCAGCTTGTGTTTTTCTGTAAGGCATTTTGAGAAAGACCCTGTAGACTTTCACATGTGGCAAGAAAGCTGCAGCAGCACAAAGCTGAATGTAAAGGCAGCTTTTTTTTTTCTTTCCTTCCTGAACATTCAGTGGAAAATATAGCTAATCCTTGCTACATTTTTTACACATTCTGTATATAACGCGCAGCAACACGGCAGAAACAGAAATTTCGCTTTGGTATCTAGCTTTCTTTTTTTACAGACAGAGAGAGAGATAGGAAAGGAGCCGTTAGCACTTAGTCACCTAACTTCACCTGCCTTCTCGATACAGAGAACGAGATGACGTGGGAGGAAATGATGCGCGTGCTAGGACGGACGAGCTGAAGTTAACCACTCGCACTTTGGAATTTTCCATCGGAAACTAAGGGACTTGCGCATTTGCCAACGAGAGGCTCTCCGAGCCCTTGTGTTTCTTCTTTCGAAAGCCCACGAATGATGCAGTAATGTTATTTTTCCAGCAAAAATAGAGAGTCGTGTACCGATTCAGAATACCTTTACCTTGTAGGTTGGTTGGCAGCACAAATGCTTCGTTACTCTACTCTAATACTTCTAAAAAAATTACATTCACCAATTTTCAGTGCCTTTCACATATCCCTAAAACGGTCGTAAAAATTTTTATTTTTTTTTTCAATGGCAAGTCCGGAATGAGCGTTGCTTGGAGAGGATGCATAGATGATTGGTGAAAGATGGGGGAGAAATATGTGTACATAAAAAAAAAGCAACAACATGCAAGAGCATTTGGTTATCACAATGAGGTGGCATTTAACAGAACCTAGATAGTATTTAAATAGCTTGTCTGTGAGCAAGTGAAGGGAAAAAAAAAAGAAGACAAATCGGCACTTCAGACTACCACTCATTCGCTTTGGCCACCAACTCTCACGCTGGCTGGCAGTGCACGTTTATCGCCGCGGCTTGCCAGCTCAAAGCACCAGTCGTAAAATAGACATCGGGTTTAAAAAAACCGCCATGATTCACTGTAACACGATGCAGCACCGAAGATTGTCATCGTAAGGTCATCTGCACGTTACACTACCTTCAGGAGTTACCACGACTCCATCAGATCTTATCTCGCCTAGGGGAGGGCCGACAGCACCATTCTGCATGCAGCAATGCTAGCAGTGGCAATTGAGCCAAGGAAAAGGCCACTCGCAAGGTGATTTACAAAGAGAAATAACGTAAGCGCAAGCGAGTGATGTCAGTGAAGCTCATTTGCCGATGAGCAGTTTCTTTTTTTCTTTAGAATCTTCTTTTTCTTTTTCCCTAGCAGACAAGGCACTGATATGCAGAATGAATGAGGTGTGTGAATTGATGGTGGCGTGACAGTGATATAAAGACCCCGTCGATGCTCACCAGTCTGCTCTCTGCACTGCAGTCCGCAACATCTTTTGAGAACAATACAAAAAGATGAAGATGATAAAAAGCCTGCGTGAGCTGTGTAACAAACTTTTTGCCAACATCTTGCATATCGATATTCAAGGCCAATAAGAAGAGAGAAAAAAAAAAACAACAAAATCGACAATGCGACCCGAACTTGCTGGCACTGTCTTTAACAACTTCATTTAGGTTTGAAACCAGCACAGTCGAAGTGTTACACGTATGCAATGCCATAGCTAGATGTGCCAGTGGATGCCAGATTGTTTCCGAATTATCTTTCAGCTAATTACACTATAAAAAGGCCGAAGACCCCCCCCAAAAAAAAAAATGCAAGGCGTGCAATTGTGATCGCAGGCAAAGAGCGCACTGCTGGCATTCGGAGCTTGCGCATACTATTGTAGCAACAATGATCATGCGAAGAGTTATTATGCGCCCTTTTGGTATGCAGGGCAGTCATCATGCACATTAGTGAGTGGTTAATTAAGTGGTCTGTGTCTTGCGCATGTAAACATGTCTTGTGCGGTGGCTGCCCACAGAAACACGGCAATTGCGACGGGCCATGTAGTAGCACTGGACAGTGGTTGCTCTTTACCATTAAAGCCGGCCACTACGCAGAGTGTGCCAAGTTTCTGTTATCGATGCTAGCAGCGTAGTAAAACAACAGCCTGTCTATTAGAGCGACCCGCCTCCAGAAGGGTGGGGTCGTACATTCAGCCAAGGGCGCATGGGGCAGCATGCTCGGAATTCACCAATGGCGCCCCAAGAGAGATTGGCAAGCGTTCTCGGCTAACTACGATTTCTGGGGAATGCCCCGTCTATGCATAGTCTGCCTGAAGCAAGCTCCTTGCAAAGTCTTAAAATTATGCTGGTAACCGAAAATTTGGGTGTGAATCTGCCTAATCTGTCTTAACAAATTACGAATTGATTGATTCTCACTAAAGAGGAAGCAATGCTGATTCATTCCTAACGGTCATATGCAAACACTAACTACTTGCCACAGTGCACAAACAAACAGTCTGTTATCGATCCCGATTCACAGTGACAGCAGTAACGACTAGCTTTTGAGGTTAGACTACGATTATTTCAAGCGTTTTTCACGGTCGGAAACACAATCGCTTCACAATTCAATGTGTGCAGCATTGCACATCGAGACATGGAATGCTGGCACTGCAAAGTTGAGCAAGTAGTCGTAAAAATTTGGCCCTTGGTGCACTTTGAAAAGTAAGAAAAAAAAAAGACGAGGGTTATTACCGACTATGGCAGTTATTTCAACTGCGTGTCCGTTGAAGGCAATGAAACGGCAAACCTCTTGACTATAGTGCCTTCGCAGAGACAATCCCCCCCAAAAACAAAGCAAATGGCTAATTGTAGCACTTCCTGAGCAAATATGGGGGTATATAGTCCCCTCAGACTAGAAAAAAAAAGAGCTAGCGAAATAATCTTGCATTAATTTTTACTGCAGTGTCCCTTCCTAAGATGCATATGTGAACCACAAGGTTTCTGGTCAGTGTAGTATTAAGCTATCACTACTGCAAGGAGCTTGCCCCAAGAGCTTGGATAACATTGGCAAAAGGAAAAGATTTCACGATGAAAAAAAAAATACAGGCCCGAGTAGATGGCCAGTCACAAATTCATCCCCGGTGCTCCTCTTGCGGAATCATCTTGGCAGCGTCTGGGCGTTCTGGCTGGGTGGAAGAGCAACAAGCGCTCTATATATCTCCCAGTCTGCCCACCCCTGCTTTGGTATTGCTCTAGACTACTTGAAAGTGTCGGTCGTGTTCGTGAGCGGTAGCGGCAGCGGGTGGCACGAGGTGCACAGGACCCACCACCTGCATCACTGTAGCCGGGCGTCTTGAGCTTGCGTGGTGGCATACGGCATGGTGACTCAGTGACCCGGCCGTGCCGCTGGTCATCGCCCCGAGGGGCTGCTGCAGTGTGTAGTATGCAGCGGCAGCCGCCGCTGCAGCTGGCCCAGCGTGGTGAGCAGTAGTGTGCGGAGGCGGTTGCGGGGCCAGGTAACTGGCTGCGGCCGCTGCAGCCAGGGCAGCAGTCGATGGGCTCGTCGAGAATGGATAACCTAGCTCGGCAGCGGCAGCCGCTGCTGCCGCAGCCTGGTTGACAGAGGCGGCCGCAGCTGCGGCCCCGGGTCCGAATGGTGGCCCATAGTCGTAGAAGGCAGCCGCAGCGGGCGACAGTGGAGGGTGTGGCGGTAGAATCAGGCTCGGTGTGGGCAGGTAGGCGGACGGGTAGACAAACGGCTGGTGCAGCCTGTAAATTGGAGTAGTTGATTGACTAAGGGCGTTTTCTTAGCAGAAGGGCCAGAAATGTACCAGGCACCAGACAGAAGTTGAACATAGTGTAAAATATGTTGCATGGCCTAAGAAATGTTTAAAATCAGCTGCCGTACAAGTCTATGAAATACATATGCAATAAAAACTTGACACAATGCAAGAAACATTCGAAAAGTGTGCTTTAAACGTAAATGATGCATTTAAGAGTGATCAGAATCCTAAAAAGAATTGCTACACTCCTGTCACATTCGATGTTCCAAGTCATTACATTTGAACAATGTTCAATGCAATGAATGTTATTTTATTTGTGCTAGTGCTACAAAAGAAAAGGCAATGTCTTTCAGTATCAATGGTGATACCAAAAGAACAGGTCACTAAATTTGCAGAAGCCAAGTTCAGAGTAGCTGAAAAGTCACTATTTATTTAGAAATACATATGGGCTGTCACTTTACTGAGTAGACACAAAGAGAACACTTGTTTTACAGAATGTCTGAAATAAACCATAGGTGAAGATAACACTTAGCAGTGGACACAGGCAATATATTTCGCACAAACAATGCGGCGGATAGCACAGTGCTGAACAAATACACACAGCTGTAGCAGGGGAAGCATTTGGCTGCTGTGTAATTCGATCTGTGAGAGAAGTACATTAATCAGTTTAAGAGGCTCGACCATGAAGTAGCCATTGAACCAAGAAGCAGTAACGGAATTCAGCAGCGCATTTCAAGCAAACATGTTCACTGTTGCATCGAATTGTCTATACTGCGACTATTAAAGGTAAGGCAGTGGAAGCTGGGCACTTGTTTTCATACTTTGAAAGGTGCAACAGCGAAAATTTCAGTTGCCATTACATGCTGTAGTGCCACGTTACCTTAGGAGAAACATCAGATATGATATTATGCTACTATAAATATTTTAATGAATGTGAAAGGTTCAGTTACGAGCAGTGTAAGTATCACTACTTTGCCAGCAACTGTGCTTGGCCCATGTCCCTAAACAGCCTGCTACGCTGAATATTGCCAGCACCAGCAATGCATGAAGCAAAGCTGACAGCGGCCCGTCACTCTACCAATGACGTGTGATGACTGGAAGTTCTAATGCCGCTCTCTTTAGGATATGGAAATGCACCAGTAAGACATAATCAAGTCAGAGATTAAATGTATTTTATGGTAGCCTGTCGTACAGTATTTTTTGTTGTTTAAAATGCAAGATGCCTTAACCCTTTACTGCCGAGTGTCGCGACTTCACGACATGTCAAAACTTCGAGCAAACAAGTCACCAAATTCACGCCGCCTTTAACGCCAGCTGTTAAGTACTCACGAGGAACATAGCTTTCAGCATAAAAAATCTAGCACTGTCTTGTGTAAGGTATTCTATGCTAGAAGCAATTGTTGTGCAGCCGATGGCAGAGAGTGCGAAGCACGTGCAACAGCTCTCGCAGCTCTCAACAGCTTCTGTTGAGAGCTCTACGATCGCCAGCGTGCCTCACGAGTTGAGGAGGCCAGGCAGAGATGACAAGCTGGGTATATTGTAATTGTCCGTAGCAGCCTTGGTACACTGCCCGTCCCTAAGCTTGTGGTGCGAATGGTTTGCCGACGCTCTAGCCTAAACGCTGACAAAACTTCTAAAAATCATTTCGGGGTCTCTTTAACAAAGCTACCCTAAAAAGACCCTTTCATTGTTGACATTGAGGAAGCGGCTTCTCCGTAAGTTCATAACATGTAATGGCAGTGTGACATCATGAGGAGACAACAATTTACTATGTGCTAGAGGCAGACCTGCCACCTGCTCGTGGTACACATAATCAACGATCAGTTCATTGTCCGCGGCGTCCCAGGCAGGGATTTTAGAGTTTCAGGCTGCGTGCAGGACTGCAGAGTTTGCAAACTCTGTGCATCTATGTTGACTCGACAGGATAATGCCTACTGCAGCAGGGGCTACCTTGCTGATCCTCAGCGACAAATATTTCAAAATCAAAGACAGTATTTTATTTCACTTACTCCGGCGTGTGTAAAGCGTCAACACTGCATACCAAGGAAACTGAAAAAAGTTTCTTTTGCTGTGTGTCACAATCGTATCGGTACAATCTCAAGCTGGTGTGAGCCCTCGCTTGGCCAAAAAATTTCATAGCGGGATTTTGCAGTCATCTGATAAATAATTTCCTAATCTTTCAGAACATTTATCACCCTAGAGAACTAGCAGCAGTTCTAAAATTAATTCTTAGTCTCTTTTATTCGACATGTTCACAATAAAGGTGCCCGTACCCCCTACACGGTCTCTGCTTTCTTTTTTCTCTCTAAGCAACATTCTCGGAGGTTCGTGTACAGTGGTCGTCAAAATAGTAAAGCCCACGAGAGCGAGTGGAAGACAGCACGGCAGCCCTTCCTAATGGCAGCTTACAAATCTCAAAAGGCTGCGCTGCGCATGAGTTTTTTTTTCCCACCAGCCAGCCTGCTTATTTGCTCGCTTCTAGTGCGCACTTGAGGCAAATAAACAAGCAAGCCGACAGGTAAAAAAAGGATGCACGTGCAGCAGCACACTGAACGCTCTCGAGATTCACAAGCAGCAGTGGAATGGCGTTGCTGTGCATTTTGCCGCGAGCTCCTGTGGTCTCTAACATTTTGACTGCCACTGTACTTCTTTCTCAACAACTATGATGTATAGCAAAAACAAAAAATTCTTACACGTGTTAATTATTGGCATTCACATAACTGGAACTAGCACCAATAGCCTAGATGGATGTGTTTTTTAGTACAAAATAACTAATAGTGGCAATTTCCATACACTAACTCACGTCAAAAGCAATAAATTTAGTTTTTTAGTGAATGCTTATAGTTTTAATGCCCCTATTATTAAGCGTTAGGAGCTACATTTGCATAAAATAGTAGTGCTCTGCAGACAGCACATTTTCAGAAGAAAAAAAAAACATATGCAAAAAAAGCTTAAGACAAAAAATAAAAAAAACCCTTAAAATATAATTTTCAAATCGAATACAATCTTAGTACCTCCGAAATTCCTAAGAAATACTATAACCATAGCTTTTATTAGCACTGTTGTACAGCCAAATTTCGGGACTCGTATTTAATGACCCACCGCACCTTAAGAAAGCTGGACGTAGCCACATGCCATGCACTGCACTCTGCAGTCGGTTAAAGTTAAGTAATTATTGCACTAACATGCTCCAGCTGGAGACAGCAACAGTTTCACAAAGCGCTCAAGAACATGACCTGCATGTGACGTAGCTTCTTTCCTTCTTGCCATCTTTCCCCGAGCACCTTTCGGAGTGCTCGTTGGAAAAAACAGAAAGGAAACACCTGAAGTGTGCAACGAATCCGTGTAACTCCACCTATCTTTTACAGATTTAAGAAACATATATACAGTCGAGCCCGACTATATCGAACCCGTTTATATCAGATTATCCCGTATATCGAACAATTCCTAAACACGGTTAGTTTACATTGAGAATATATAGCAAAATCTACTGTTTTATCGAACAAAAATAGCAACGACAACTGATATATCAAACTCCATGTGCCTCAAAAGTGCCCCAGCACCAGCAAGTTGGCTTTCCCTCGCGGTGGCAAGGAAAACTGCCGGCGCCACCCTAGAAAAAGTTGGTTAGACCCGGTTGTGTGTGGGCGAACACCCCCCTCCAAGAAGTGATCCTGGCCCGCTCCCAGCGCTTACAGCCAATCGGAGGCCGTCGCGCTTTTTCCGAGGCGCGAAGACCATAGAAGTGAGCGCCATTTTTTCTTTCTTTATGCTTGTGTGCCTGCTACTGCCGATTCAGCGTGGCCTGTAGTGTTGACTGTTGGTGCTCTGTGAACTGCATTGGCGCGCTGTCATCATGGCTTGCGCAAAGAGGCAAAATTTGCCATTCGCCGTGAAACTCGAAATCATCAATCAGGTTGAGCGCGGTGAAAAGAAGTCCGACGTCGCCGCGTACAAAATTCCAAGGAGCACCTTGAGTGCTATCCTGAAGAACAAGGCAGACATCAGGGCCAAGTCGGACAAAAGGCCAGGTGCCCGTGGCGCCCGACGTGTGCGCGCTGCTGTGTATGAAGATGTTGAAGCGGCCGTTTACAAGTGGTTTGTGGACGTTCGGTCGCGAAACATCCCGGTGTCCGGCCCTATGATCGAGCAGAAAGCCAAGGACCTTGCTTTTCTGCTTGGCAAAAATGATTTCCAAGGCAGTTCAGGCTGGTTTCAGCGGTTCAAAGAATGGCACGACATCGTTGGCAAAGCTGTTACAGGTGAAAGCAGAGCGGCGGACCTGGACAGCGTAGAAAATGGCTCGAGGAAAACTGGCGAGATATCGCAGCAAGATATAGAGCCCAAGATATCTTCAATGTGGATGAAACCGCTCTATTTTGGAAAGTGTTGCCAAACAAGACACTTGCGTGTAGTGGCAACAAGACAAGCAGCGGCAAGGCAAACAAAGCTCGTGTGTCCGTGCTGTTGGCAGCCGATTTAGACGGATCAGAAAGCTTCGACCTCTGGTTATCGGGAAAAGCACGGCACCGCGGTGTTTTCGAAATGCGCTGACGCTTCCAGTTACCTACCGAGCAAACTCAAAAGCGTGGATGACCGGGGAGCTTTTCAGCAGATGGCTATCATCGTGGAATGATGATTTGGTAGGCGAAAATCGCAAGGTGTGCCTGCTTGTGGGCAATTGTTCATCGCACCACTGCAGTACGACCTTCAGCAACATCGAGCTGCGTTTTTTGCCCCCGAACACTACGTCTGTACTGCAACCACTGGATCAAGGCGTTATACGCGCAATGAAAGCCGGCTATCTGAAGCGCCTGGTGGAGAGGCTGCTGCAGAACCTTCGTGTCGGCAGGGCGCTTAAGATCGACTTGCTCGGAGCGATTTCTATGTTGAGTAGATCGTGGGCAGATGTCAAGAAGGAGACGATCCAGAACTGCTTTAGGCATGCCGGCTTCCGCATGCCTGGTGATGACACCCCAAATTCTGACAGCACTGAAGACACCGCAGGTGTTTCCGCCGAAGTTTGGAACGAGCTGGCAGAGTTCCCGGGTGCTATCGACGGATCGACATTCGGCGAGTTGGTCAGTGCGGACGATGATGTCCCCATCATGGGCCAATTACAGGATGAAGATTATATTGCAGATGTCGTGCCGACCACGAGCCAAAGCGACAGCAATATGGAAATCGACGACGGCCCATTGCCTACATCCTCCGAAGTGATTAGTACACTTGCATTGGTCCGGCGCTATTGCTTGAATGTGGAAGGTTGCGGCCTCAGCTGCTCCGACTCGTTGGACAACGTGGAGGCATGCGTGCCGTCGCAGGCAGCGAAGTCGTTGACACAGAAAAAAAATCCGGGACTATTTTGTTCCACAGCAGGGCAAGCAAGTAAGCCACCATATTAATAAAGTACTTTTCTTCTAGTTTGTTATGTGCCTTTGTGTCAAAACCTATACCGGGCCTATATCGAATGATGCCATATATCGAACTAATAAACCTTTTTTTGGCGAGTTCGATATACCCGGGTTCGACTGTATATTTCAGCACTTTATTAGTAAAGTAATTAACTACGGTACTGCAAACATTCGACGACTTCTTGGAAAAGTGGTTCAGTATCACTATACAGTGAATACAGTGATACAGTGAATACCCAAGATAGCCTGACCAAAGGTTGGGTTGAAACGGCACTTGTCCAGTCCTTCAATCATTTTGTATTTCTTGCACCTCTGAAACATTTGTAATTCACAAGAATCCAACTTCAGTTTTCATAAAAGAATAGCTCACAAATGAGCATAATGAAGGGAACAATTCTTTAGTGTTTAACTGGTCATTACAAGTGATTTGTGAATGCAGACGCAAAGTGTTGATTTCCAACAGGCAACTTTCCTCGCGAAGCTTCCGAGCTATGGACACTTCTGTGCTTGGCAACTGTGTAGCCACTGTGTCTCCTGGAGGTGATCTCCATGTTCCCTTTGGCTTTAGTTCTCAGTGAAGAAAGTATACACAAAGTGTGGACAGCACCTGCACCCACTCACACTTGAGGCAGTATTCAGTCACAGCATGTGAGAAAAAACAAAAAAAACCTGGGAATATTTGGTTGTTAAAATGCGATGATATAGCAGTGCTACTCACCCAGCATATTGACTAGGGAGAAAGGTCGGGTAGCCTCCTCCCCTCACAGTTAAGGGGAATCCTGCACAACAACAACAAAAAAGTGTTAGAGGAGAAGAGGTGTCAGCAATAAAATGAGGAAATAATTGTATGTATCATTCCAGTGCACGGAATGTAGGACAGAGGTGTACTAATTGTTTGGTAACTGCTGTGCCTTCAAAGCTGGGCATTTACTAAGTATATATATCACATCTGTCTGACATAACAGGCCCCTAAAAAAAGGGGTGGGGGGGGGGACTAGTTCACTGATAATTTTAAGCATGTGAAAACCCCACACATCTATGAATAAAACAAGATGGTTTGTAGATATAAGCTCACAACTTTGAAAAAAAAAAAAAAAGGCAGCCTCGAAGGTGATGAATGCAAAGCTTTACTTAGGATTATTCACAAATGTTCAAGTTTTGATCTAAACTACAATATAATTATGAAAGATGCTCCATTGATGGGCTCCAAAAATCTTGACCCCGTTGGGTTCTTTAACGTGAGATGTACATCTAAGCACACAGTCTCTAGCATTTCACCTTCATCGAGACGCAGCCACCATGGCCAGGGTACGATCCCTCAACCTTCAGGTTGGTATTACGAAAAAAAAAAGCAGATGATTATGAATCTCACTACAGTGGGTACCTCTGGGTTAGTTTTGACCATCTCGGGTTCATTGCGAACACCTTTGCCTTAGCTCATGCAAGTTTCTGCACCACTCTTAGTGACTACCATGCTTTCAAAAGTCATCAAAGAACAACGATACGTGACAACAATAGATGTACACTGCTGACATCAATGATAAATAGGTTTCTTGGCCACCATGGAACCCCACAAAGGAAGTGCAGCTGTCATGCATCATTGAAACCTGTCAGAGAACAAGACGAAACGGGCTTGATTAAGTAAAATGCACTGCCCAACAAGCATCATTCTATGCCAAGAGATGCACGGTGGATTCCGGCGGTGAACCCATTCCGCAACTTCCATCGTCAATATGTCACTGCAAAACCTTCAGAGTGCCAATCTCTTCTCTTCTATGCTGGACAGTGTGGCAGTGCTTTTTCATTGATGTCACAAAGGTGATGATGATGACAGCAGTAAGACCGACTAATACATGTGTACTTCATTCCTATGTATTTACCTAAAAGTAGCTGGAGCACATGCATGGCATCCTTGCACACCGATTCTACACGGTTTGACACAATGATAATATCGGAGAGCTGGTCGGCATTGGTACGATAGAAGTTGAAGCGTAATTGCAAACTAATAGATCATCACTCCACTGTTATGCTGATTGAGGTTTAATACCACCACAAAGCACATAATTAGCTCTTTTTTTACTTACACGCAAGCTATTCACAAGATGACAGCAAGACTCAGCAGCCAATACTTCATGAATATGTCGCGAGAGCAAGGTTTCCAGCTCCAGTATCTTCTCAGAAAATTTGTGCAAAACCAACTCCTCTGCTTCTTTTTTAAGTCTTTCTTTGTACTCTTCTACCTTTGGGTTTGTTTCTCTGGCCATTACAGAGCTTCGGCTTTTGACTTTAATGGAATGTGGGATAAATCGTGTTTTCCAGCCTGGGACAGGCGCCTACACGCTGCAGTTACGGCTTACAAACGGAGCAGTCAAGGTCGCCCCCGTTCGGGATTAGAAGGGGAAAGCTTACTCGGAAAAGCGTCAAGCAAGAGGCAGGTTCGGCGCCACCGTCTGAGTCTAAGCCATTGTTAACAGGCACGCGTGTCATTGAGAATGACATGGGGACTCGACCACTTAGCCTGACCGAGACATAGTGGCGGCCGGTAAACGACCATATTCCCCCGCGCTCTTGGTAGGATGTCGGGGCGCCTCGCTGTCGCATGTACACCTGGTAAGCAATAATGTACTCATCGCTCTTAAGGACGCTTCTAGGAAGCAACAATTAACGAAAGAACTGACGGGGCCCGAGCGTAGGAACGGCCGCCGACGGTAGTCGGCCGAAGGAGGCAGCACGAGTAACGTTGGGCAGCTCGGCCTGGCATGGGAGAGAGTGTCACGTGCGGAGGACCTTTCCCTTTGCGTGTTTCATTTTGGTAAGGAGGTTTTTACAAATGTAGTGCCTTTTATGAAAGTGTTTCTGTGATTGATTGTGATGCTGCGAGTCCAAACATGTGATTGGTTTTTGTGAAGACTCTTTGTTCGACCAAGGGTTAGAAAGAGGATGTTTAAACTTGAAAAGTGAGCAGAGTCGGGGTAAACAGCGGATCTCACCACAGGAGACCAGGCCATGCAGGCCGAGGGGTATGTCACCATTTTCTATGTTTTGTCTTTGTGACCCAGTGCATTTTGTAAATTGAAGTTTTGTTAGCTAAATAAACCCCAATGAGTGCTCCCCGAAATCATCGTGTTGACGTCTCATCGATTGCCTCCGCGGAGTTTCACCCACACTTATTCGTCTCCCTGGTCGCCCGATGCGCCTAACTTTGAACAACCCCGACGTTTCGCTACAAAGTGGTGGAGGTTGCTCGGTAACGATAGTCCCGCTCTGAAATTATGCCCCGAGTCAACAACAAATATCAGGAACCTACCTCTGACTGCTCCACTATGACGGAACCCCATACCTTCTCTGCCATGTCTACCCCCCAAGCTAAACCATTCGTCGGACCACCAGTCTTTAGAGGCGCGCCGGAGGAATCTATTTCAGAGTGGCTACTTTGCTACGAACATGTAGGGTCGCTTAATAATTGGGACCAAGCCACGAAGGTGAAATTTCTATATCTGGCTTTAGACGGAGATGCGAAAAAGTGGCACACCACTCAAATTCTAACCGGTGCTCCTAATACATGGGAAGAATGGGCGACGCTACTTAAAACGTCCTTTACGAGTCGCCACTCAGTCGAGATCGCCCATTTGCGGCTACAAAACCGCACCCAATTGCCGTCCGAAACCCCCCGAGCAGTACTACTATGACGTCGTACAGCTGTGTGCAAGAGTGAACCCGTCCATGACGGAAGATGATCGGTTGCGGCACCTTATGCGCGGTTTGCGTGCGGATATTCTGGAGAAGATGATAATCGCAAACCCGGAGAGCTGCACTGCATTCCTCCAAATTTTGCAACGCATAAATCTGGCAGCTTTGATGAGCCGTGCGTCGGCGCCACAACCGATTGGCATCCAGTATTCCACCGGATTACAGTAGTGGATGCAAAACATCGCGCATCCCGTAGGGTTCGCACCCGCCGCAGCGACAGGGTACTCTCCTCCTACGTGTGTCGCCACTTGCGCCGCGGCCGAATTGCGTTGCCCACAGGAGGCTGCTGACAGCGAAAGAGACCTAAAAGCGATTGCGGACTCGGTTGCCTTGCTGTCTGACCGGCTAAAAGGCATCGAAGACGAGGTGCGTCGCCGCCCAATGCCTTGGCCTCAGAGAACTTCCCGTGCCAACGACGGGCGTCCCCGATGCCAGATTTGCCGCCGCATAGCTCACATAGCACAACAGTGCTGGCAGCGGTTCCGAGATGACAGGAACGATGAGGCTGAGCTCCAAGGCAATCAGAATGTGCAGCCTAATCCTTCGGGAAACGAGAACGGCCGGGCCTAGGGGGCCAGCCCGGCCGCCCCATCGGCCCATTGTCGAAAGGTCAGCTTCTCACAGTCCCCACACGAGCCAACGGTCCAGAAACGTTGCGACACCGCCTTGGCCTCAAGAATAGAAATGCCGACACGCTTTCCCGCCTTCCTCATGATCCCGTGCCTGTAAGCGAAGAAAACCCCTTACCGTTGCTGGTTCTGGATCAGGTGGATGTTGGAAAAAAGCAGAGGGCAAACCCATGGATGTAAGAAATTAGGCTGCACCTCGAGCACCCGGATGCGCCCGTTGTCAGGAAAACTAAAAGAACGGCACGGAGCTTTCGGTTGATCGACGGTGTACTGTATCGAAGGGCGAAAGGGTTTCAAGAGGATCGTGCTGCGCTCGTTGTCCCCAAGTGCTTGAGATGTGAGATTTTAAGGTACTGCCATGACGCCACCACTGCAGGCCACTTAGGTGTCAAGCGCACATGGGAGAAAGTTCGTTGCCGATATTTCTGGCCGAAGATGTTCTCGTACGTAAGCAAGTACGTTCTCTCCTGCCCCGACTGCCAGACACGAAAGCAACCACCGGGGAGGCCGGTCGGTTTCCTCCAACCGATCCCACATGCAGGTCGACCGTTTCAGCAGGTGGGCATGGACTTCATTGGGCCTTTCACTAAATCCAAAGCAGGGAACCGCTACATCGTCGTGATTACCGACTACCATACGAAATGGGTCGACGCTGTCGCGTGTCCAGCGGCCACTGCCGCAGAAGCAGCCAGAGCTTTCGTCGAACAAATCGTCCTACGTCATGGTGCCCCGGAGAAAGTAATAAGCGAACGTGGGCAGCACTTTGTCGCCAACTTGACCGAAGAAATATTCCGGCTTGTGGGTAGCGAGCATGCCACCACAACAGCATACCACCCACAGGCCAACGGCTTGTGCGAGCGTTTTAACCGCACGTTGGCTGACATGCTCAGCATGTACGTTTCCTCACACCACCGCGACTGGGATGAATTCCTACCGTACGTTCTATTTGCATACAATTCTTCCACCCACGAGACGGCTGGATTCACTCCCTTCTTTCTTCTTCACGGACATGAACCGACACTACCGGTGGATGTAGGGTCGGGCGCGCAACGCGGATTCGACTACACCCTGGATGCAATGAAAGTGGCCCGCAGGCTGCGGCAGGCTCGAAAAATAGTAAATGAACGGGAGAAGCGTCAGCAGGAGAAGAACAAGCGCAGCTATGATGCTCGGCGACGAAGTGTTGTTTATCATCAGGGCGACTTGGTGTACTTGTGGACTCCCTCCCGGGCGAAAGGGAAGACGACAAAGCTTCTTCACAAATATCACGGACCTTTCCGTCTTGTGCGCCAGGTAGCCGAGAACAACTGGGAGGTGGTAGACCAAACTGGGAAAAAACGTGACGTAGTGAATGTGGCGCGTTTAAAGCCCTGCCACGTTCGATTGGGCTCCGATGCCGA